TCCTGTGACATCACATCCTTCACATCCTTTCTGTGACATCACATCCTCCACTGTGACATCACGTTCTCCCCTGTGACATCACATCCTTCATATCCTCCCTGTGACTTCACATCCTCCTCTGTGACATCACCTCCTCCCCGTGACATCACATCCTCTTCTCTGACATCACATCATTTACATCCTTCCTATGACATCACATCATCCCAGTGACATCACATCTTCCTCTTTGACATCACATCCTTCCTGTGATATCACATCTCCCCTGTGACATCACATCCTCCCTAAGACATCACAGCTCCTGTTGTGATATCAACGGTCTTATATGACGTAACATCTGACATATGACATCCCATGTCTGCTGTGCTCACATCCTCCTCTGTGACATCACATCCTTCACATCCTTCCTGTAACATCAAATCATCATCCGTGACATCACATCCTCCTCTGTGACTTCACATGCTTCACATCCTTTCTGTGAAATCACATCCTCCACTGAGACATCACATCCTCTCCTGTGACATCACATCCCTCATATCCTCTCTGTGACATAGCATCTTCTTCTGTGACATCACATCCTCTCTGTGACATCTCCTCCTCCTCTCTGAGGTCCCATCATCTCTGTGACATCACGTCCTTCTCTGTGACATCCTCATGTCCTCGACTTCCCAGAGTCCCTCAGTAGCTACACGAGGTTGGAGGGAACGAAACTGAGCAGGAGGTCTCTGTCCTGTTGTCCTGGTTTTGACTGGGATAATGGACTGGTTTACAGTCACTGCCCACAACAGGGACTTGTCTCAGCACAGAATCATGGAATCATGGACTAGTTTGAGTGGGAAGGGACCTTAAAGCTCATCCCATGCTACCATGTCTCTGGCATGGGCAGGGACACCTTCCACTAGCCCAGGTTACTCCAAGCCCCGTCCAACCTGGTCTTGGACACTTCCAGGGATGGGGCAGCCACAGATTCTCAGGGCAACCTGTGCCAGGGCCTCCCTCCTCACAGGGAAAACTTTCTTCCCAATATCCCCCTAAGCCTGCCCTCTGTCAGTGGGAAGCCATTCCCCCTTCTCCCATCACTACAGGTCCTTGTCCAAAATCCCTCGGCAGCTCTCTGGGAGCCCCTCGAGGCACTGGAAGGCACTCTGAGGCCTCTCTGGAGTCTTCTCTTCTCCAGGATGAACAAGTCCAATTGTCCCAGCCTGTCCCCAAAGCAGAGGGGTTCCAGCCCTCAGAGTATCTTTGTGGCCTCCTCTGGATCCACTTCAACAGATTCCCCTCCTCCCCTGCCCCTGGGATGAGCCCCACACACGGGGGGTTTCCGGACTGGCTCGTGTCACATTTGTCACCCACCAGCACCCCCAGAGCCCTCTCCCAGCAGGGACTTCCTTCCTTTCCTCCCCCAGCCTGCACTGATCCCGGGGGTTGCCCTGACCCGGCTGCACCACCTTGGTCTTGTCCAACCTCAGCAGATTCCCGTGTGTGCCGGGAAACGGGGGGAAAAGGGGAATTCACCCGACTCTTGGGGATTTGTTTGTCTGGTGGTGTCCCAGGGAAAAACAAAACTCTGTCAGTCCCATCTAGTCTGTCCCATATTCCACCCAGGAACCCTCCACCAAACAGATCCACCATGAACTGGGGGGAATTCCAGGGCCCTTTTTGGGGGACTGACACGTCACAGCAAAAGGAAAACCCCTCAGTGCATATTTCCACCAGTTACTCCAGCATCAACAAAACTGGCAGCACCTTTATAAAGGACTCCCTCCAACAGTCTGTGGAATAACACTCTTTATTAATAAAAATTGGCAGAGGTTAAAGGTTCCTGGTGGTCAGGGACAGGGTCTGGCTGCAAAAACACACTTTGAACAATGTCAAAATTGTTCTTAAAGCAAAGCAAAGCACAACCTCTAAACCAAACCAATCCACAAATACATTAGGAAGCAAAAGCCAGTTCTAGTCCTTCCAAGCAGTGACTAACACGCAAAGTTGACACTTCCCACCCAGCACAGGCATCCCTGAGGGGGAGGAAGGCAGGTTCAACCCCTCTGTTGATCCCAGCAGTTTCAATGGAAATCTCCCTCCAATTCTTTCCCCATTTCCAAATCTCTTTTATGCTCGTTCTTTAAGTTTGGAGGAGTTTGAGGGTTTCTACTGAGAAGTGCTACAATTGTTTCTGGGTACCTGGGGAGCTTTGTGGGGCATCGTGACCTTATCCCAGCCGGGAAGCGGCAGTTGGAGTCTCTTTGCTGTCCGGGAAGCAGTAGCTGGTTTTCCTCTCTAATTCCTATTCTGTGTTAACTTTTAGCCTTATCTCTCTCTCCACACTCTGGGAGCATTTCTCTGGCTTGCCCAGGTCCCCCTGGATGCCATCCCGTCCCTCAGGTGTGTCACCTGCCCCGCTCAGTTCAGTGTCACGGGCTCAGGGTGCCCTCCATCCCTTGGCCTCCATCATTAAGGAAGAAGCCGGATACTGGGGCCAGGAGTGAGGAACTGGAGGGTGTGGAGTCCAGCTGGGGATTCCTTGCTGGGGATAAGGGCAGGGATAGAGGGATTGGGAAGGGGGAAGCAGTCCTCAGCCTCTGGAGGTGTCTCCTGCAGGATGAGATGGAATTCCCTGTGGTGGAGGCAATTACATCCCCTTGGGGTGCAGGGGCTGTAAATGTCTCTAGTTTGAGAGACTTCACCTCCCCTGGGCCCCTCCTCAGTCAACGTTCCTCAATTATCCAACAAACGAGGCACGAAACAGAAACAGGCACAAGGAAAATCTTCCAGGTCACTGCCGGCTCCTGGGGAAAATGCAAGGCAAATAGTCAAGTCATTCAGCTGAGATGTTTTCCCAGCTGCCCCACAATGGTCTCTTGTGTCTGGTCAGGGGCCCGTAAGGATGGAAGGTGTTGTGGAAATGTGGCCAAAGGTGAGTGGAGAATTGAGGCTGTGTCAGGTGCCGGGAGCCCCCACTCAGTGCCTGTCCTTGATCTCTGCCCACGGGGGTCCCAGCACAGAGAGGCCTCTGAGGTGGGTGGGGAGGGAGGGAGAGTGGGGTGGGAAGGTGCCATCCTGCTGAGGGCCAGCACTGGGCCCAGGGCAGGGCAGGGCCATCCCTGGGGACAGGGGCACTGGGGCAGCTGTGTCCCAGGGCCAGCCCAGTGTGGAGCCAGAGCCCTGCTGGGCTGCCAGTCCCTGGCCCCCCCTGCCTGGACCAGCTCAGCAGAGCGGGTTCCGGCTGATGCGGGAGGACACGGTGTGCCCAGTTGGGACAGGGGCAGGGCCAGCAAAGGGCATCTGCCCCTCTGGGCTCTGCTCGGGGAGGGCAGGGCTGGGCCTGCACCACTTGGGGGTTGCAGTGCCCACAAATGGGCTGGAGCCAGGCACTGCCACCACCCCAGCACTTCCCTGGGCCCAGCCCTTGTGTGCCAGGGCCAGCATTGCCCAGTGCTCCCCAGTGCCTGCCCAGACTGGAGATCCCAGTCACCCGCCTGTCCCCATTGCCCGTCAGCCCCTTTATCTCCCAACTCCCTGTTTCCCTGATCCCGGGTCCTGGTGCCCCAAGAAGGGGGTCAGTGCCAGCCCTGCATTCAACCAAGGGGCTGGAGTGGGAACAGGGACAATTGTGCTCAGACACGCCGCGTTTGGGGCTGGGTTGAGCTCTGGGGTGTCCCAGAGGGAAAGCTCTGGGAAGGGATGGGCAGGAGGACATGGGGGGATCAGGCTTTGGGGGCTGTTGGAGGATGGATTGTGTTGTTGTGGGATTGTCCCCACAGGGTATGAAGCTGCTTTCAGCTCCCTGCCCACCCCCTTGGCACCCCCAGGGACCTGGGCCCTTCCAGGGGCAGTTGCCCCGTGCAGGAAGCTGGAGGGATGCCGGGGAAGGTGGTTGGATGGGTTACGCAGGCAGGATGGACTCTGTGCCAGGGCTGGGCTTGTGGCCAGGTCTGGGGGCTGTGCCCAGCCGGGCTTTGCCCCGGGGGCTCTCGGGGAGGGGGCAGGGAGGAGTCCCGGCAGGGACAAATGTGCTCCTGCCCTTGTGCAGCCTCAACCAGCGCTGCCCAGGCCCAGAGGAAGATGAAGGTCGCTGTGCTCAGCGTGGCCCTGCTCTTCACCATCCTGCTGAGCCCCCCGGCAGATGCCAAGGTGAGGCCCCCATGCCACAGCCATGGGCTCAGGGATGGGCCCCTTCCCAATCCAGGGGCTCCCCCAGCACTCCCCAGCACCCCCAACCCCTGGCCAGGCCACTTTCTTCCAGTCACAATTCCCTCTCTCCTTCCCCTTCCCACAATTCAACTCCTGTGTCTGCAGCTCCGCTTCCTCACAGGATGCTTGCACCCGGCTCCGTCCTGGCACAGTCCCAATGCTTCCTGCTCTTTCTGACCCCAAATCCCACCTTTTTGGGCCTCCCCATCCCATCCTCTTGGTCCCCTGGAGCATCTCCCCACCATCTCCTGTTTCCCAGCCAAGGCAAAGGCCCAAACCAAACTGGGTAGAACTGGACCAAGCCCCACTGGAGTCCAAGGAGGACAAACAGGCCCAAGCTCCACACTGGGCTCAAGTGGGACAAGGCCTGGTCAGGTTGAAGTGTCACCAACTGGGAAATGCTCGGCCATGGCCCATTCCCAGGGCCTTTTCTCCAGGCTTTGCCCTCAATGCCTTGCCTTTCCCCCTGCACTGGTGTCCCCAACTTGCCTGGGAGCCGCAATCCCACAGAGCCCCGCTCAACCCGGGGGGCAGCTGGGGCTGGAGGGGGTGGGGACACCCGTGTCTCCCCCAGCCCCACACGGTCAACCCCAACCAAGCCTTTGCTCTCCTCCTGCAGCCCGTCCAGGCCGGTGGTGTCCAATGTGGGGAGGTAAGTCTGGGAGTTGGGTGGCACCTAATGTGGGAAGTCGGGGGCACTTTGGGTCCCCCATCCCTTCCTGGCACTGGGGACACCCCAGTGACCAGTGACATCTCCTTGTCTCTCTACAGGCAGGTGTGATCGGCGGCCCGGTGGGTACCAGGGTTTGTGCTGGGCCCAGACCCTCCCCTCTGGTGGCCACCACCCTCCAGGGCATCCCAGTGCTCCCCAGTCCACCCCAGTGTGTACCGGGGAGGCCCTTCCTCAGGGTCCCCACTCTATTCCCACACACCCCAGTCCACCCCACAACACACACACAGGGCATCATTCCCACACCATTTCTTCCCCTTTCTCCTCTAATCCTTCCCCTTTCCCATTGCCCATGACACTCGTGTCCAGAAATCCCCTTCCTTGACCCCTCAGTCCTAAACTCCCTCCCAGTGCCTTCCAGTTTTTTCCCCTTCCCCATTTCCCCTGCCCCCACCCCTGCCCTGCTTCATTCCCTGTTTCCCCTCCACTGGAATCCCTTCCTCCTCACCCACATCCCCCACAGTCCCATCCCTTCCACACCCCAATGTCCATCCTGTGGGTTCCCCAATTCCCCCCACTTCACCCTCTTTGGGTCCCCTCCTCCTCCCCCCACCCTCCCTGCAGGCCCTGAATTCCCCTGGCTCTCCTTGTCTCCATCCCCACCCTGGGCCCTGCAGGAACAGGGATCCCAGGGGAAACTGGGTGCAGTGGGGCTGGGGGAGCAGAAGGGATTTTCCCCCTCAGACCGGGGCCAAGCATGGACTGGGGGGTCTGGGGACACCCGTGTCCCTCCCCCAGCCCCACAGGGGCCAATCCTGCTTTAATCTTTGCTCTCCTTCCCCAGCCAATCGCAGGACAAGGAGGAGGTGGATGTGTTGGGGTAAGTCCTGGAGCTGGGATGTCCCAAGTGTGGGAAATGGGGGGAAATGAAGTCCTCCATCCCTCCTGGGCCTGGGGACACCCCAGTGACCAGTGACACCTCACGCTCTCTCTCCAGGGAGGCATGGATGTCCATCGAGTGAAGAGGTCTGAGGTGGGTACCCCGAGTTCTGCTGGGCCCAGACACTCCCCTCTCATGGTCACAGCCCTCCCCGGCATCCCAGTGTGTCCCAGTCCATCCCAGTGTGTCCCAGTCCATCCCAGTGTGTCCCAGTACATCCCAGTGTGCCCCAGTTCAGCCCAGTGTGCCCCAGTCCAGCCCAGTGTGTCTCTAACCCTGCCTTTGTCTCCAGCCTCCTGTGGCTGACCAGGTGGAGCTACAGCGCCAGTGACGCTCGGCTGCCTCTCTGCATGTCCAGGTGAGAAATATCAGAGGGTCCTCAGCCCCCCAAAGGAGCCTGGCAGGGCCCTGGGGGGTCCCTGAGCCCTCTGCAGTGGGCAGAGCTTGGGGACAGCAGAGGGACAGGCAGGGGGCTGTCCCTACTCCGTGTCCCGGGGCAGCTGGACAGAGCTGCCCCCAAGCCTTGCCTTGCACTGGGGGCTCTGCAGACCCCCAGGGTCACCGGGAGGGCAGGGAGGGGCTCGGGGAGGTGTCAGAGCATCCCGGGCTCAGGGGCTCTGGGGCCACATGGATCTCAGGATCCAATTCCCTTCTCCTGCCCCAGCTCCCTGCAGACAGACCGGGTGGGGACAAGGCCCCTGCCATGTCCCTGTGGACACCGGGGGTGACGTTTGGGGCTCTGTCTTTCAGGACTGGAAGTGGTGGTGACACCCGTGTCCTGGCCCCCTCCAGCGGCATGAGGAGATGATCATCCCTGGAGGACCCCCCTGATCCCCTGGGTGCCCTGGCAATTTCCCTGCAAGAATCAATAAACCCCTGCAGCAAAACAAATGCTCTGTGTCTGTCTGTGTGGGTGTGTTCCCACATCCACGGGTGCCTTCCCGTGTCCATGTGTGTTCCCACGTCCCCTGGGGAACTCAGTGGTTTGGGGGCACAGCAGGAAACAGGGTCTGACTGGGGCTGTCCAAGCACCATCCCCAAGGAGCACAGCTTGGTGTCGGGGCAGGGGAGGGTCAGGGACAGTCAGCCAAGGCCCCTCAGTCCTTCCCTGGGCTCTGGGAGGGATGGGAAAGGGGATCAAAGGAGCCAGGGGGTGTCAAATGCCCCCAGATCTCAAGGGACAGGCTCGGGGCTGAAGGGATGGAGAGCAGCCCTGCATCCAAGGCCATGGGGACAGTGGGGGATGAAAAGCAGGATGGGAGCCAGCAATGGGAGCTCACAGCCCACAACCCCCCCGTGTCCTGGGCTCATCCCAGAGCGTGGGTAGCAGGGGAGGGGGGTTCTGGCCCTATGCTCCGCTCAGCTGAGACCCCTCCTGCAGTGCTGCCTCCAGCTCTGGGCTCCTCTGGCTGTCTGCAACGCACCCGCCCACAATGGCAATGGCTTGGGGGGATTCCCCTGCCAGCCCTGGCATCTCCTGCAGCTCCATGGGCTCCTCAGCACAGCAAAGACACGGACCTCTTGGGGCACTTCCAGAGCAGACCACCCAGGGGATCACAGGGCTGCAGCACCTCTCGGATGGAGACAGGCTGAGAGACTGGGGGCTCTTCAGCCTGCAGAAGAAAAGGCTGTGGGGAGACCTCCCTGGGACCTTCCAGTACTTCAAGGCAGCTTCTTAGAGACATGTGGGCAAAGGGTTCAGTAGGGTCTGTCACAATAGGACAGGGGGTGAGGGGGTTAAACTAAAAAATGGTAAGTTCAGACTAGAGATAAAGAAGAAATATTTTATAGTGAGAATGCTGAAACACAGGAAGACATTTGCAGGGAGGTGGTGGATGCCCCATCCCTGCAAACATTCCAGGCCAGCTTGGATGGGGCTCTGAATAAGGTGATCTAGGAAAGATGTCTCTGCTCCCCCTCCAGGGGATCCCCCTGCATGTGCTCTTGGCTACCAGAGTGATGGGCAGCTCTCAAAGGATGCAAGTGCCCAGAGAGCAGAGGGAACACACAGGACCTCTGTTAGCAGGGTCATCTTCAGGTGAGATGGGAATAGTTTGGATCAACACGCTCAGGCTCCGCTGTTTTGCCTCTCTGTAGTTGTACACAACGTTTGGAAGAGACTGAGAACCACGAGGTCCCACAGTGTCACAGGGTCCCCTTGGTGACAGGAGGTCATGAAGTGTCCCATGGACTTGTGGGGGTAGAGTTTTTGGAGGTGTTCTCTGACCCAATCTTTCTTGAGCAAGGGAAGGTCTTCCAACATTCCTATGTCCTGGTCTCCTGGGCCAGAGATCCCTGGGGGTTGGTCTTGTCAGTGCAAAGGTGTTCAGTAACTCTGCCTTCTCTGCATCCTTGCCATGAGCAGAGCGGCTCAGGGGGCTCCTGGGGGTCTCTGCACACGAGATCCCCCTCACACTCTTAAGGCAACTTCCCAGGTTCCCCATTCCCAAGACTCCCTGGCAGTCACTCTCCCACCAGCCCAGACCGGCACTTGTCGCGGACCAGGAATCGGAATGGGAACGATTCCGGAAATGGAAAAATATGTACAGCGATTGAATGGACTTCACACATTGTGTGTTTCCCCCGAATTTGTATCTTCCGGGCATGTCCCGGCTTGCTCACCTCCCTGCACCTCTGTCTTCTCTGCTGACTGGTTGGAGAAGCTGCGGCAGGAGACAGCCCCCATTCGCCCTTTCCTCCCCTGGTCCCTCCTGCGCTCCCCCCCCCCTTTTTGCCCACGGCTCAATCCTGGTTTCTCCCCCTGTCTGTCTGTCTCCTGCTCCACCCTATGTTCTGGCCCTTTCCCTCCGGATAAAAACCCCGTGTGCACGCTGGATTAAAGATTCTACCTGCACCCCACCTTTGTGTCTGGGATCTGTACCGTGTCGCGGCCCCATTTCCCTCCCCCGCTCGGACCGCGGCAGGGGGTCTTTTCTAAATGAGTCTGGGGGCGTACTTCATTCCCCTCCTCTTCACTTTCTTCTTCAAATGCCCTTGGAAGGCCATCAACCAATAATAAGACACCAATTAATTGTAGTTTGTACAAAACACCTCCTTCAAGGACCAAGTTCCCGTTTATCAGTGCTTGTTTCCTCCTAACTTGGCAGGAAAAGGAGAGACTCTCCCAGGTGGCTGTGCCAAACACAGACCAAAAGTATCAACATCTAATACAACCCTGATACACCCGCAAAGAAAAAGGGAAATTTCTTCAGCCTACTTGTGGTCCATTGTAGCATCCCTCCCCTGAGAAAGCTGGTGCAGAACCTCTGGGCCTTCACTTGGTGTTGTCATTGGGACAAAGTGGGACAAGACGTGTTTGAAAGTTTCTTCCTGCCCTGCTGTGTGCTGCCCGTTGGCTGGTGGAGCAGCAGAGCAGAAAGTCACTGTTGGCATCTGGCAAAGCAGCAGGTGAGAGCAGTTGAGAGGG